TGATAAACAATCGTTCGCTGTTTCACGATGAAGTCGCGGCGCGCAAAGTGGCCTTATTTTTCCCCTAATTCCATCACTCCGAAAGTGGCGACGCGGCGGCTGCGACGGCTGCCGCGGCGGCGAAGCCCAAGTAGAAAGACAGACACTCGACCGAAAGCGTAGCTGCCGCGCCGCCGGGTCCTGAAGCGCGTTTCTCAGCGGCTTTGACATGCAAATTGCCTGACAATGAATTTCGTAAAACCTTTTACCGCGGAGTACGCTTCGCGAGTGGCGCTAGGGGTTGGCGGCGCGGGCCGCGGGGTCGCGGCGAAAGAGAGAGAGAGAGAGACAGAGAGAGACAGAGGAGGAGTACCAGAGCATGCCCTCTCGTGCACGACCCCACGCATGCATTGGCGGCTCGGGAGACACCAGACGACGTCGCGGTATTAATCACTGTCTACCGGCGTCAGGCGGAACAGCAGCGGCAGCCTCCCGTCTTCTCGTCGGCCGGGGAATCTCGTGAGATACCCGAAAATCAGTTACTTTGGGCCGATTAAAACGTAGCGCGCGGTCGGATCGAGATTGATACGAGGCACGAGCGACGAAAACCTGTTCCATCGCAGCCATCTCCCGATTGTGGGAGAAGGAGAGAATGGGGTTACGCGTAGGTTGTAAAAAGAAAATAGTTTCCCCCCTCCTTGTTTTTCGGTATACCATCGTGTATTTTCCGAACGTATCCGCTGCATTGGTTGGGCGCGTGGGGGTAAACGCGTGTTCTCTCTCTTTCTCTTTCGCTTTTCGCGTTGCCGTATTCTCCCCCGGGTACTTAAGTAAAACAGAGAGGAACGTTAAGCGAGAGAGTCTCCTTTATTTCTCCTGCTGACGCTGACTGGTTTACTTTTCTCAAGTAACCGATCCGATTCCATTCGCGTTCGTCGTAGCGCGGAATGCCATTTCGCCGTCGAATCTACGCGGCGCTCGTTTCCCGTGCCAACAGCTATCGCAGCTATTTTACTCGCATCGCCGTGAAAATCGCGTCCGCCGTAAAAGGGATACTCGGCGCGCGTTGTCTGAATTGTAAAGGACGGGAAAAAGAAAGAAAGAAAGAGAGAGAGAGAGAGAGAGACAGAGAGAAAGAAAGATATCCGCAAAATCCGCCTACCCGTTCCGGCGAGTTACGAGGAACGTATCGAGATAGATACGGGAGGAGGATCAATCGGATTTTTCTGTGGCTCGCGCGAGCCGCGCCGCGCCGTGCGAGTCCGCTCTCTCTCTCTCTCTCT